AGAAAAGAAAAAAAAAAAAAAAATCACAATGTGGGGTCTCACAGGATGTTAGTCAGCCAAAGAAAGGAATGAAGTCCTGACCTAACCACACTGATCTACACTGTCAGCTTCTTCGAGAACATGATGCTGACAGGAAAGCATACAAAGGCCACTTATTCTACTACTCCATTTACAGCTCTGTGTCAATGGGGACACACTCTGAGAGATGTGTCCTTAGGCGATTTTGTCACTGTGCCAAGATCACACAGTACAGTAACAAAAGCCAATATAGCTACCATGTAATCTTATGGGATCACTGTCATACTCAGTCCTAGTCCACAACAGAGAGGAACTGTCATCTCGAAACGTCAGCATGTGGCACATAACTGTGTGAGGCATGCACAATAAGCATACCTATAGGGACAGGAAGTAGATTAGTGGTTTCTCGTAACTTGGGGATAGAGAATGCAAATTGCTAATGAGTATGGGTTTCTTTTAAGGGGTGAGAAAAACACTCTAGATTAAAATGATTGTGAATACAGCGACCGGGGTTCAATCCCTGGCATGCCATGCGGGTCCCACTCCCGGAGTGCGCTGAGACTGGGTGTGGTGGCACGCACCTGTAATCCCAGTACTTGAAAGGCTGAAAACAGGAAGATCACTACGAATCTGATCTACATAGTGAGACCCTATAGATACTGTACTAAAAAAAAAAAAAAAAAAAAAAAAAAAGACTGTGAAATCTTATGAATATACTAAGGACCAATGAAGTACACATATTTAAAAGGAATCTTTTAAACTGGGTTTGGCGGCACATGCCTATAATTCCATACTCAGGAGGCTGAGATGGGAAAATCATGAGTTCAAGGTTAGCCTAGGATACAGAGAATCTAAAAAATAAAAAAAAGAAAGAAAAAGAAATGGTAGTTTTTATTGACTCTCAATAAAACTGTCCTTGAAAAAAGGATTTCAGCTAATGAATAATGAAGAGGTAATAGAATTAAAGCCCCACTGTTTTGCAGCTCATAATAATAATAGACCTAGAGAATGGTCATCAGTGGCTGCCAATGCCCGGATTGAAACCTGATGAGACATTTCCTACCAAGTAGATCAGAATGACAATATGCGACTGCTGCTCATCCAGTCAGCAAAATTCAGACTCTAGGAAGCCAAACAGGATAAATTAAATTTAAAAAAAAAAAAAGCCAACAAAACCAATATACGGGCTTGGGATAAATGCTGATTCTCAAGCCAAATGCTTACGTTCAGGCACATCAGAATAACAACTGATATTGTTAATTTTTTGGTGTCCTAATGGGACTACAATGGTGTTCCTTAAAAGGAGTCTTTAACTGCTGGAAAGACATACTAAAATATTTATGGATAAAGTTATATAGCATTTGGGATCCATTTCTAGTAACTCAGAGGAAAAGCAAAATCATTGACCACACAAGACGACCGTGAGTTGGCCTGCTTGGAGCGGGATGAGGGGCACACAAGAATTCAATGTGTAGCCCTCTCTATTTCTATGCATGTTAAAACTATTAACAGTGACCAAAGAATAACTTGCTGACCCCCTTCTCTAGACGAGTGCTGTGGAATGTGCTTGGCACACAGCCTTGTTCACACACAGCCTTGTTCGACCTTCAATCATGGGAGTGGCACTGACCACAGTAGGCAGGCAGTGCATAGCCTCACTGAGTGAATGAGCCACATGCTTAACACTCCCCAACCAAGGGCTCAATCATTACCCCCTTATTGTAGAGGTCCAGCTAGCCCTATGCAGCTTTCATGGGCGGACTCTTTCCACTATACCTCAAACTGTGCACTTATTTTTTGAATGGAAGCAGGAGAGAATGGCTGATATTTTAATGTGCATATCTTGCCTGCCACCGGCCCTGAGAAATGCTGTCCCTTCCAACGATGTTGTATGAGCAGGCTGAGGATATGTGGGGTCCCAAACTGGGGACATCTTGTGTTGTAGTGGCACTTGGCCACAAAGTAGCAGGACTGACAGCTATTTTCACTGCTACCCAAAGAGGCTCTTGGACTCACTCTATGGACTGTCTGGCTGCGTCCCTCTGTCACTCACAACGACAGCCCTATACACAGTATTTGGTTGCCTTAGGCCTCTTGGTGTGTGTAAGGTTAACAAAAGGCTCTGAGCTCTCAAACTCACTTTGCAAGGCTGGAGACTGCATCCCCTCACAGCCCTGCACACGTCACGCACGCGCAGGGCCGTCTGGACAGTGCTCACTGTGCTCAGAAAGGGAGCACACAATGCGAGCCAGCTTCTTCTTACCGGGCAGCATCACTTTTAAAAAGCCAATTCCATGAAAGTAAATACAGGCCCAACTTCCCTTTTCCTTCTACTTGTCCAAAAAAACCACTACATTAGCCATGTCATTAAAGAAAAAGGCCGTTTCAGCATGAACACTGCCATCTTTTTGGAGCTTTCTCCTATGAGTTTCATCTCATTCCATTAAAACGCACAGGAAAAAAAGTATTTGCATTTTTATAAGAGCATGCAAAATTCAATTTCTAACCTTCCCAGGGCTATGCCTGAGAGGCGCTCAGTCCCCCGGGGTCACTGTCAGCAGTGTGGCCCCAGTACAGCAATAGTGCAGAGATGGAGGCGATTTGAGGTGGGCTTGGTGGGAGGGATTGGGGCAGGGCAGGCGGGCCCTGCTGAAACAGCTGAGGCAGCCCTGTGGCACTTGGAGTCGGAGCTCAGGAGAGCAGCTGCAGGAGCCAGTGGCCGAGACATACTCCCGACCACCTCTCTCCACACACACATCCCACCACCATGCACCCACGAGCTGTACGGACTTTCAGCCTCCAAAGCTGCAACTTAGCAAATCTCTTTGCTTGACAAATGACTCAGTCCTCAGTATTGTATTAGGCAATAGAAAACAGACTAAATACACCATACGATGTTATACCAAATAAAACAGAGCAAATGTAAACAGAATTAAAAACTAATCTCATTCCACCCCTGCCCATCAGGGTCTGCTCCTAGGCACCCCCCACAAAGTCTCCCTCCAGGAGACATGTGTGCCCTCAGGAACCCCTACCCCTGGGATGAGCAACTCTCACAGAAAGCAGCACCAGGCCTAGGAGGAACAGCAAGTGGGCCCAAGCCAGGGTCTCCTACCACCCTGCAGTGGATTAGGAAGTGGGGACAGTGGCAACCTTGAACCTAGGCCCAAGGAATCAATGTTTTTTTGTTTGTTTGTTTTTTGTTTTGTTTTTTTTTTAACAGGAGCTGAACCTTGCATCTCTGAGAAATAAATGGTTGTTTGTGGGGCATCAATCTCAGACTGCCCAGGCTAAGAATGTAAAAATAAACTTCCAGGAACCCTCGGAACTTGAGTCTTTATTCCCAGGAGCAGCACTGCCTGCACACCCCAGGGTGCTGCTCAGAGCTTCTCCCTTAGAGCCTTTCCAAGAGGTTCGGCCCAATCCACCAGGCAAGCTGGGACTGAAAGTGTGAAGTTCCCAGCCAGCACACAGCCAAGGGAACACCAGGCCCACTGCAGCATGACTCGCTTCCCCGGCATGGTCCACTTGAAGGAACTGCACAGCCTGGTTCTCCGCTCACCCTGGTTCCCAGCATCACAGCCTGAACCCGGTTTTCATGCTGAAATGAACAGAAGAGCCCACCCCACCCCTTCACTGACCATACACCACCAGCAGCAACCAGCGGAGCAAAAGCCGAGGCTCTGAAAGCTGGCCTTTGAGCTGCCTCTTCCCGGTGAGTGATCCTGAATAGGAAGATTCTTGATCTACAGAAGGAAAGGCTAACCTATCTTTAAAATAACAAGCACAAAGGGTCTCCTGAAAACATCCAGCAAGAGGCACAGGTAAAACTTCACTCTAAAATAAGAGCTCTGACAGTTCTTCTCCCTCCCCTCTCCATGCTTGCTTCCCGCAACCGGGACAATCATACAAGCACAGTCTCATTCCCACCTGGATCTTTATTGAGCATGTGCCTCTCTGGAAGCTCGAGAGATTTCTGCCCTTCACACAGCTCGTCTCCAATAGAGAGCTGCTCAGGAGTGTGAGTGATTTAGTGAATCCCAGCAGCCAGAAATCTGTGCAGTTAGTAAAAGGCAATTGATAGCTTGGCAACCAAGAAAATAAGGACTTTATCCCAAGAGACCCACTAAGCCTGCAGTAGATGCCCATTGCCTCAATCGGGCCACACTGCATGCAGGAACACACCTGTGAATGTTCCTGAGCCAGACAAATGGTGCTCCTTCCCACCTCCCTGCCTCCCCGGCCCTCCCTCAGCGCTCCGTGAAGCTTTACATCAGCACCTGACACCTGGCGTTGTCCCGGGTCCTCCTCCTCAACACCAGTATGACTGCTCCTCATGCTAACTCTAGGCTCTCACACAGAAGGGATCATCTACTGTCCTCTCTGCAGCCACTGCCACTTCCTGGAAGTGCTGTTCAGTCTAGTAAAAGATATTCACTTTCATCTGAAGAGTTAGCCAAAACTACCATTTCTTTGGCCAAAGAGTTAGCAAAAAGACTGAGGACCAACCAAGCCTGGCAAAATTCAGTGTTTGCAATGGCCAAGCATGTCAACCAAGTAAAGGGGCAGGTGGGGGCTTTTTGAACAATCTTGTTTAAGGCAGAGTTTGAGACTCGGCTGCAGTCTCCTTTAGGAGAACGGTCTTAGTTTGGATGTATCACATTTGGTGTTCCAGAAGAACCTGGAAGCCCTGACGCATGTGTGGGCTCGTTCAAGTTTAATTAAAACTAATCCAGGGTGTTTTAAAGGTTATGTGGCTCGGACAAAAACATTTCTGGGCCAGACACTCACTAAGCCCTCCAGGGTGTGACCCGGTGTGAATGTGTCTCGATTCCAGCTCCATGGGGTCCACACACAGCCACACAGGACTCCAACAGACCCTTTCAGACCCACACTCTTTCTTCAGTCAGTGCCTGGGAAGGCTCCTTCTCCTCTGACAGAAAACAGACATCAGAGAAATGATGCAGAAAGGCAGCTCTTACCCTGGTGGTGATGCTGCACGCTCTGCCCTCATCCTGCGCAGTGGAATGGCCATCCTCAGGCACAAGGCTCCACCGGGCTCCCCGTCCTGGTATGCAGGCTGTGTGCTGGCATTTAGCGTCAGTAAGAGGAGAAGAATCTCGTCGTCCAGTGGAACAAGCCAGGGCAATCGCTGGCCAGGAGCAGCTGCCTACAGGAGAAAGCATGTACCGAGTTGTAACTCCAGAAAGAAACATGCCCGTGACTTTCCAGCTCAGGGCTCTCGGCACTGGACCGGTGAGACCCAAACCTCACAGGCCCCTGAGCCTCCAGGCACGGGGCTGTCCGTTTCCCCGGGGAGCCATCACCCCAGCTAGGCACGCAGATGGCCTAAGGAGTTTCAAATTTGCTGTAGTGCGGTGCTCAGGCATCTCCACTGATGCAGCCAAGAGACTGGAGAACCAGGCGCAGGGACGAGCTTCCCTCCTACGTGTCCTTGCAGGAGTAGCCCTCTCCTAGCCAGGTCACCCAGCGCAACTTACAAACTTCTAAATGACCATGTTTTAATCCATTTCTGAGACAAACCACAACTGGGAGTCACTGCTATCACAGAATGAATTCTCCTGCTCTAATTTGAAATCACTAGATTTCAAAGCCCAGCCAAATTGGACTCTTCTTTATCTGTCTGTTATATTTCACGGGCGCTAATGTAGAATTCTCTGACTAATGCTGGTGGGGGGTTACATTTGTGTCAAAACAGATACAAATACAAATTTCTATTTCTGCCTCTGAATAACTTGAAGAAAGCAGAAGGATTCGAATCCCTGACCGGGTCCACCAGGCGTCTTTTGGGGTGACACTTTCCCCCAGACTTGCACCGGCATCTGAACACCTGAGCATCACTCTCCACTTTCCTACCAACCAGGAGCAGAAGGGGGAGAAAAGAATATTGACTCTGAGACAAAAACACTAGGAAGTGCTTCCAGCTGTATCAGAGATTAACCAAGCACCCCCTGTGGCTGTGATCTGCTGGCCTTATAATGCTGCTGTGGTCACAGCCCAGAGGCCCACCCACCCCACCGCACCCCACCCCACCCCAGCCCAGGGCTCACAGCCCCTAACCTTAACATAAGCAAACAAGTGGGGGCTCCTGATTGGATGGGTGACCACGTGGGGGTGCAGGTCCCAGAAAGGGCAGGGCCAGCTCTGCAGAGGTGCAGAGACCATGCAGAAGAAAGTGCAGTACCAGCTCTTTCCGTCCTGAGCTTCCGAGTACAGCTCCTGGGAGAGGAGGTACAGAAATTCCCAACAGGGAGAAAGAAAATCAGTTCCGGAACTACAATCCCTCCTGTTCCTCCTGCTTCCCTACCTCCTTCTCCACAGCATCCCAGTAGCACAGGATTAGGCAGCCCTAGACCTCTGTGTCCCAGTGAAACACAAATGCCACTGCACATTTTTAAGCAGCTCAGTCACACACAAGGTCTTTTCCTTATCAGATGCCTTCTCAAATGTAGCACATTTTAAGGGAATATAAAATTAATCTGCCTGAGCAATAATTAATTGCAAACAGCTTTGATATCATCATATTAATTACTGAAGGAAGAAACTAACAAAGTACTTGGTTATCCAATACTCAAGGATCCCCAAGCATCACTAGAATCTCACAGCAGGAGCCCACTACAGCCTCCAGCCCAGCCCGGGATGGTCCCAAGGCTTCGTTTCACAGAAACTTTCTAGGGGCCTTCAGCTGATATCTGACGAATGAAGAGCTTTTCAGGCTATCGATTTCTCTGTCCCTGCCATTAAAACTCAGAATTGCCATGCCTAACCCCATTTTCTTTTCTTTTCTTTTCTTTTCTTTTCTTTTTTTTTCATCTTTTTGTGACAACGTCTCACTATGCAGTTCAGACTGGACTTAAACTCACTTTGTAGCCCAAGCTGGCCTCAAACTCAGAAGGATCCTCCCACCTCAGCCTCCCAAGTGCTGGAATTACAGGTTTGAGCCCCTAACCTCATTTTCTATCACCAAGATTCCTGTTTTTTAAAACATTTTACACTGGACTTTCAGTAGCGATGTAAGACTAGTACTTGCTACTTCTCATTTTGAGTTTCCGCGATTCACAGGCCCCTCGGGATGTTCACGTTCTGTGTGGCTGCTCAGCAACAGTTGGATACCAGTGTGGTCAGAGTCGCCAGCATGCCAGGCACATTGGTGGCTTTACACCCACGTCCTGTCTCAGCAAACCCCTTTGTAGGCTGGATCCAAAGCCTCAGAGAAGCTTCTTGCCCAGAGTCTTATGACTGAAAGTACCAATGTGGGGAGCCACCGAAGCTGGAAATTGGTCATAGGTGTGAGGGCAGGCCAAAGCCTCAGTGTCTAACACAGTCAAGCTACCTCAGTCTTAAAAAAAAAAAAAAAGCCTGGTTAATGTCAGCTGTTAGTCCCTAGGCAACCTTGTGTCACATGATACTAACTCTGCAAAGGTATAAATAAACTCCCTACTACTGTTCTCAGGTCATTTGCCAATCAGGCAATGGGCCACCACCTGACCCAGCTCTTGTCTTCTTGTCTATCTTTTCCTCACTGCCATGTCTGCCTGGGTACACTGAGAGACCAACAAGTCCCTACATACCAGAGCCAGGAGCCAAGCCCAGGGGAGCCTGCTGTTCTGCTCACAGTGTGCAGACCAAGACCCCTCTTGTTGCGGGGAAAGCCAAGGAATGATGGTGGCAGGGACATGACTGAGATTGGCAACTTCTCTGTTCCTGCTTAACCTCCACCCTACATTTCTGCTCTCTATGTTCATTCCAAGCTGATCAGTGCTGTGCTCAAAGGCAGGGAGTATGTGCTGTGCTTTAGCACTAAACAGTCTTCGTACTTTGCTCAGTTCAGCAGGATCCTAGCAAAACACACTAGCTCCGCCAGCACTGCTCCCCTCTGCAGAATCCCCTCTTTGCAGAGATTCTACATCCTCCTCTCACTCCCTCCAGCCTGGCTGTACTTCCTGGGGGGCTGACAACACCACTGGGAAGTACACAAAATGAATGTCTCCCTGGCTGAGAGGGAGAAGGTAGAGACCGAGTGGTACTGTATATTGGACTCATCCATCGCTCTGGCCCTGACAGCCAATCTCGGAACAGAACCCAGGAAGCGGCACACAGACAGGAGCTGGCTCATAGGAGTGATGGCAGCTCCTTCTACCCATCCCCAGGCAGAAGTCATCCTCCCAGAACTGTAAATCAGCATCTGATAGATTACAGCAGACACTCCACAGGAATGGCCCTGTCCTCTGTATTTGCACAGGATCGTGTACATCTGTCCTTGTCTCCATCTAATCCATTCTGAAATGTGTCATGGCAGTGCTACCCTCTAAACTGAGACAGGCTCTGGTTAGGCACAGTGTCCTAACAGCAATCTTATTAATTTTCCCTGTCATACAGTGAAGCCTACACATCCTTTTGAACTGTCCTCTTCCCCCAAGACAACAAGACTAAGAAGTAAACTGATGAGCAGGATCAATGTGGAGAATGAAAAGCACCTAATTAGTAGAAGCCAAGGAGGAACACGAGGGAGGCAGGAATGCCTGCCAAGACCTATCCCAGCACTTTAAAAAGGAGGACGGTCTTGTCCCGAGGTTCAGCATCTCCTGTCTTGGTGGCGGGACATGTCAAGAATGGAGCTGAAGGCCAAAACTTGCTTCATGTATCTTTTTTTTTTTTTTTTTTTTTTTGGTGGAACCAGGGATTGAACTCAGACCCTTGCACTTGACAGGCAAGCACTTATTCTATTGAGCCATCTCCCTGGCCCCTGTTTCATGTATCTTTACATAAAAAGCCTCCTTTTATTCTGACTCAGATTCTAAGAGGCAGCACGGGGTGACCCAAGATTCGCGAGCACTCTACCAACAGCAAGCACATGAGCTTTGTGGCCAACACAAGCATCCGCCCACCCAGTCCTTCTATGTAGAATGTAACTTACTAAGGCAGGGAAAGCTTTGTGTGCACAGTTTTCTGTGTGTTCCAGCACAAGCCCACCTCCCAGAGCAGCGGTGGTGAGTTCATGGTATGATATTGTTTGCTTCTAAGACAAAAGATGTTGATATATGTGCTGTTTGTTCTAAACTAAAACCTCAGTATTCAGGTTTAATTGAAGTGTTGACCCTCTGTGATAAGTAAGTGGGTTTGGGTCACAGCTTGGACACTCCATCTCTAAAAGGTTTGCCATCACTGTCCTAGAGTTCGGTCAGTTCCAGGGCACCTCAGAGTCAGTGTCTAATGCTGTAAGCCTGTAAGATCATCATCCCCAACCCATGATAAGGTCACCAGGGAAACGACACCTTTCAGTACCCTCTGGCCCAGTCAGCTTCTCTGGTGGCACCTTGACCTTAGCAACTTCCTACAGGAGGCATTCTCAGCCTCTGCACTCCTGGATGCAGTGGGGCCAGGGGTTCCTTCTTGCGCAGATGGACCTGGACCATGCAGGGCACTTGGCAGCATCCTGGCTTCAGCCGCTAGATGCCGAAGTTGTTTCCACACACTGCCAAAAGGGCCTTGGAGAGTAAATCACCCTCAGCTAAAAGGGTTTCAAACACTTCTTGGGGAGCTGGAGGTTAGAAAACTTAGACCAAGAGACCTAGCACAGGACCCACTGCCAGTACACTGCTGAATCACCCTGTAACACTCACTCTTTTGGAATTTAGTCACAGCATTTCTTGTCATGGCGTCAGGCAGCACGTAAAAAACAAGGAAAAAACACAAGCGCAACCTTCTGCTAAACCTCAAAGCAGGCTTCATGATTTGGGTGCAAGGTTGGCCATTTCTCTGTAAGAGTTTATGTGACAAGAGCCAGCCAAACAGCTCAGTGGATTAAAGCACCTGCAAGCAGGCGCAGGGGCTGGGGGTTCAATCCCCAGGCCTGCTATGCTGGCCCCACTCCCTGGGGTACACTGAGATGGCAACTGAGACTGGGGGTGGTGGCGTGTGCCTGTAATCCCAGCACTTAGGAGGTTGTAAACAGGAGAATCACTATGAGTCCGATCTAGTAGTGAGACCTTGAAGACCCTGTAGACCTTTCCCTAAAATACAGAAAAAAAAAAAAAAAAAAAAAAAAAGAGTCTGTGTGGCAAACTCTATCACCTTCAGCCCTGGAACAATGTTCTCCGTACTTGCCCTGGTACTGCTTCAAACACACAGCCTGCTGAACACACCCTG